TCCGGGACTCAACCGATCGGACTATACCACCGCAACGATGCTTTTCATCCTGAATATAAACATTGATAATCCCAAAAACCAATAAAAAAAATAAATAAATGGACAACCCGAAGACCATTCTAAAATCAAGAACTACATCGGAATGCAACTCACGACAGAAGCACCGCTATGGTGCAAATCAAGAAGCTCAGCTATGGTCCTGGTTCTCCGCTCAACATCAGCAACAGCGTCCCCTGGGGTCGCAAACTTGACCGGCAAATCAGCAACAGGAACTCTAGATCCACCAAAACTACATAGATGGACACAAAAAAGTCAAGCAAGCCAAACACCACAAAGCAAATCTAGAACAACAAAATCACAGTTTAACAACAAAGAACCCACAAAGCAGCGAGGCTGTAAGCTTCTGGTATCCTCGGGCTAACAACTATATGGGTTCCAGAGGAGCTCGAACAGGAATATTCACCGGCTACACAACAAAAACAAAATCAGTTCACAATTTATGATCAAGCAGAATGGAAAAGAGTTAAAATACACACCTATCAAACGACCAACCATGAGCCCCCCAACTCCAACGATCACTGGCTCAATGGAGTCCGCCTGAATCAAAGCAGGTCGATCAAGGACTGCCGTCAGTTCATTCCAAAGCGTGATTGACACTCTCTGACCCCTGACAGCAAAACAAAGGATCAGATCTTACGTGAAGGTGACGAAACAGTATTCCCCAGTGGAAAAATAAAATAACAGAAAGACCTACTGTGCATTCTCAAGGACCAGAACTTGTTTTGGAGTCGAGCCGTGATTAGTAACCTGATGATCAATCCCGCTAATAGAATGAAGACGGTCGACAACATCTGACCGAAAATAAAGAGCAGTAAGAAGAAATAAAACCCAATCCAATTCAGTCAAGAAAACGCAATAATCACCTGCAAGGATACGATTGTCCCCTGAACGGTTAGACAGCTCACTATAAGGAACAACCTCAAAGGAATCAGTTGGGAATTCAGCTGCAGGTAGAGAACAGGCCTGGAAAATAGTTGTTGCTGACAACTCTATTATCATATCAAATGAGCAAGCACGATAGAGATTCCTTGCGGCACTGAGACCAAAAGACCTAAGAACGTAGATAACTCCCACGCGTAGCACATGCTCAAATTCAGACCCAATAGAGACATCACCCAGGCTCTGAGCTCATGTCTCTATTGGGTCTGAATTTGAGCATACCCTAAATTAAAAACAAAAAAAGACAGTAAAGAAAGAGCAAAGAAGGAAAAAAAGAGCAAAAAAACAAAAAGCACTGTAATCACAAAGAATCAGCGTAAGAGAATCTATCGTGTGATCCACCCAGAGGCAACAGTGATTAAACACCCTTGTCCCAGAAGGATTCTTGGCATACCACATATGGAGCAGACGAAGCCTTAGAGTCACCTCTCTGGTACCTCCTTTGAGATTGCAGAGCAGAGTAGGATCCATGGTGAGGAAAAAGGCGAGAAAACAACGACTGAACCACAGAGAACAAAGAGGGGAGAAGAAAAAGAGGGAAATGCGTTCCGAGAATGAGTCCTCTTGTGCAAAAAGAATGAGAAATGCCCTTTTCCACCTGAGCGCACGCATCGAGGCACTGAATGATGTGACAGAGCTGGAAGAAGCAAACTTTTTGACACCCTCCCGCCATCAGGTGAATAACCGGTATCAATCAGCTGTCCACCATTCCCAAAGCACCTCCAATCCCAGCCAATCAGCCGCCAAGTTTCTCCAACACAGTCCTGCGAACAACAGCCCAACACGACCCTCTAGGAATCCCTAACAGACACAATCATATCACGCAAGACTCACTGAGCACATCTGAAGGCCCCATCCCTCAGGTGAATAACCGGTATCAATCAGTTGTCCACCATTCCCAAAGCACCTCCAACCCCAACCAATCAGCCGCCAAGTTTCTCCAACACAGTCTTGCGAACAACAGCCCAACACGACCCTCTAGGAATCCCTAACAGACACAATCATATCACGCAAGACTTACTGAGCACATCTGAAGGCCCCATCCCACGTGGCCGGGCAGGGGCAAAGTCACATGCCGATCTCTGATGACCAACGCGCGTCCGGGCCACCAAACGACCGCAACTAAGGCCAACCAGAAGCCAACGACCAGTCCCACCCCATCCGAGCCCCCAAACTCCGCCAGATCCCAATGAGGCCTCACCCAACTCCAGCCCACACCGAAGGACACGCCAGTTTGAAACAGTAAATCTCAGTCACGTTGTACAGTAAAAGGTGTCTGCGTGTACAGTACACGGGCATGCGGCGGGTTTCTTTCTTTCAATTTGGTTACGATGTACTTATTGAATGATGACTCTACATGTATATTTTCTCTCATAGGGATAGACTAGCATGGGTGAATAAAGCCAGACAACCAGGCTACAAGGTGGCGGCGAAACTGAATTCTCCACGAACCTTTTATTTCTAACTGGGAGGAAATGTGGTATTCTCATGAGTTGATCTATCAAATTATTATGGTTTTGAATTCTAATCTTAATCCCATTGAAATTTAAAAGGAAAAAAATCTAAAATTAATATAAACTGATCAAAAGAAATAGTTTAACCCAGTAACATGTTAAGACGTTACTTATGAAATTAACTAGCAATTAGATAATTGTAACATCTTATTCCAGTTAAACCCATATTTCGGTTATTAAAATTTTGTCCGATTAAAATCAAGTATTTTGATAGTATTTCGACGAAAATCGAAATATCGATCGATCGGATAAGTATACATATTAATTATATATATAATTAATATAATTAGTAAAAGAAAAAAGGGCTAAAAAGCTACCGGTCGGGCACCACACCTATCCCCTGACCATTATCTCCATTTCCTTTCCCCATTTTCAACTTAACAACTTTTTCCATTTTCCGACCGAGAGAAACAAAGCACACGTCCATGAGAGATTTTCCATTTCCTGGGTTAATTCCCTAAATATTGTTTTTTTTAAATTACCATGAATATAGTGTTTTGAAAAGTATTTACAAGAATATTGTGTTTTGATGGAGGGAAGTTGGCGACGGCGCCCGGGACTAAGAAAATACAGTTTTTAAGGGTAAAGCTAGCGACGGCGCCCGAGACAAAAATTTCAAAAAGCGCCAAAGCCTGAGACTGGGGCGCCGTCGCTATGCTCCTTTGTTTTTTTAATCCCCTTCCTTCCTCGCCCTCTCGCACCAGACCAGACCACATCCCCGACCTCCTTCATCCTCCTCCATCCCGACCTCCTTCACCCTCCCAGCGCCGACGCTAAAAATAGAGCGGCGACGCTCAGATTAAGGAGGCAGTGCCTCAGACCCAGGCGGCGGCGCGAGGAACAAGGCGAAGGCGGCCCAGCAACAGCGGCGACGCGGAATGTCCGACGACGAGCAGCAAGACCCCGGCGACAGAGGAAGAGGCCGAGGGCGGCGTGGCGGTGACGGCGGCGAACGCTACAGGAGTGAGTGTCGGATTCTTGCCGGCGGCGGCTTTTTTTTTCCGGCGACATTTTTTTTTATGTTCTAATATTTTTTTTTCCAGTTCCTAGGCTTATCGATCCTTGTTCGATGAGACCACCACCTGCGACAATCGATACTGCTCCGATGGATCCGAAACTTCTTTGGGGGCATGGTCACCATCGGATTGACGCAGTTTGGGCAAATGAGGTAAGTTTTTTTCAAACTATTTCTATAGTTTTATTAGCTGAATAATATGATATAATAGAATAGAATAGAATTAAATTAAATTATGATTGGAATTAAATTAAATTAGGAATAGAATTAGATTAAGTTACAAGTATATTATATTAGAATAAGTTTAGTTTAGATATATAAATATAAATATTAGGTGAATTAAAGGAATTGAATTAATATAGTTTTGTGCATTAATTATAGGCTGGTGATCGACCATTCCACATTCGTCATACTGGCAATTTAGTTCGATACAATCCACTGTACCTGCCGTATCTCGTCGATGCCGGCTTGTCTAGTGTTCTGCCACTAGCCCCTCTTACCGGTGATCCGAGTTTGATTACTGCGCTCGTAGAGCGTTGGCGACCCGAGACATCGACATTTCACATGCCGTTCGGTGAGGTGACGATCACCCTAGAGGACGTGGCGACACTCACCGGATTAGCGATCGACGGTGATGCCGTCATAGTAGACATACCAGATGAGGAATGGTCGGGTATGTGTCTTCGACTGTTAGGACAGGCTCCTACTGATCTTGGTGGCGGCGTCATCCGGATTTTTTGGCTTAGGGAGACTTTCGATGAGCTGCCGCTTTCTGCATCACCCCAGACGACAGAGCAGTTTGCCAGAGCGTATGCGCTGTCTTTGATGGGAGGTGTCTTGTTCTCCGATCGGTCTGGAGGTTCAGTTCACCTGCAGTACCTACTTTTGGTGGAGGATTGGCGCAGAGCGGGGAGGTTTGCTTGGGGAGCAGCTGTGTTATCCTACTTGTACCGTGAGATGGGTAGATCGGCGCTGCAGATGACGACATCTTCTTCACTGGGTGGTGACTTTGGTGGATGGTCCGCCTTGCTGATGATCTGGACGTGGGAGCGGTTTCCTCATACATCACCACTACATGCGGTGACGGGTGAGCAGATTACTCAGGACGCAGTGCCACGTGGCCTTCGGTGGCTTCCGGCCCACACCCGTCAGCATGGAGATCAGTTCTACTTGTACAAGCTGTGGTTTGACGAGTGCACGACATTCGTGGTTAGTATATATCATATCGTTTTATAGAATAGTTTTAATTGATTTGTTATAGATTTAGGAGTAATTATGTGACCAATCCTTGTGTGCAGTGGCGTCCGTACTTTCATAGAGGTCAGGACTACAGCGGTACTGTGATCCAGTCCCACACGTTTCGAGCAGTAGTTCCGATGATCTGCTTCTCATCGCAGATGTGGCATCATCCAGATCGCGTGCTCGGACAGTTTGGGATGATTTAGGACCGACCTCATCCTCCACATTCCGCGGCTGAGATTAGATTTTTCTTCGTCAGGGACAGCATGGGCCTTCACGTGGACAGCAGTTCATACAGGCAGCCAGTGAGTCAATTGAGTTGTGGAACCGTCGACATGAATCACCGATGTTGGCATTTTTCTCTTGACCACCCGCAAGAATGTTTGCAAAAAATCATAGGATTCTTCCCAATTTCCATGCAACTTCTCCAATGATCTTTGTTTCCCATACCAAGCCTTCTTGTAAGTAACTTGCATATTAAACTTATCTTTCAACTCGGCCTGAACAGTTAGAACACTCAGATTTGGTTGGGCACGTACCAAGTGTTTGACGGCCTCAGATATCACGTCGACATCAAGATGGTGATGATCCGTCGGTTGAGTCGTACTGCTACAAGTATGCACCAACTCGACCTTTCTCACGCTCCAATCGCCTCCCATATCTCGACATCCAAACCGCACCATCCAAGGACATTTGTCCTCCTTGTGCATCAAACATCTGATCTTCCAGATTGAAGGTGACGACTCCTCCACGTTATACTGAAAGTTGCGTTGTAGTGCATAGTGTTTCGAGTGAAATATTTGCCCCTTGTAGAATTCTCCATCAAAACCACCAACAGTAGACCCTGGAATTATGCCATATGAATCAGCATATGATAATTCCTCGTCCTCTTCATTACCCTGCAAGTAAAAATATGGAGGATAATTAGGTTGTTCTCCTCCCTCCCCGTCGTCGTCGTCGTCCTCCTCCTCATCATCATCGTCTTCCTCATCTCCGTCATCACCGTCATCACCTTCATCATAATCATGATCGGATGGCATGCTCCATGTGTCATCACCGTCATCATCGTCTTCCTCTCCACCCGATCCTCACTGAGCTCAGCATGTATCTCAGCACCCAAACAATAAGGATTTTGTGTCATAAAATTCCAAAGCACATTTAAGCTATCATCATCGACAATAGGCATTGCATAATGAAATAAAACACCATTCTGCCATTCTGGAAGACAGTAGGTGAAACCTGTAATCACAACACTATCTTGTACTGTTTCGTCTCTAATCCGTATTCTCCGAATTAGATGATCACAAAGTTTCTGATAGTTCACCCTGGATGGAATAGTCATCTGGAAACTTAGACCACCAACAAAATGAACACCCAAATTGTCTTCTACTTTCTCTGATCGCCACCGAACAGCTAGTTCAAACCTTCTAAAACCACTACATAAAAAACAAACTCACTAATTACTAACTAGACAAAATCATTATGATGAATACATGAAAAAAAATACGACTCTTACCTGTTATTAGCCATCTTCCCAGCAACCAGACAGCAACACCAGAGCTTCTTTCAGAACTTCTTTCAGTTTTTTGGTGATGAAGAACCGAAGGAAAGGTGCAGTATATATGGTGATGGGCGGTGCTGGAGTGGAACAAAATGGCAGCGACAAAGCCCCAGTCTGGGGCGCCGACGCTATTACCTTCTTAAAAGCGACAAAGCCCCAGTCTGGGGCGGCGCCGCTGTGTTTTGTTTGTTAAAAAAGCATCCAGCGGCAGCGCCTGAGTCTAAGGCTTCAGCGCTTTAAACATATAAAAAAACACAATATTCTTGTAAATACTTTTCAAAACACTATATTCGTGGTAAATTAAAAAAAAAACAATATTTAAGGAATTAACCCCCATTTCCTTTCCCCATTTTCAACTTAACCACTTTTTCCATTTTCCGACCGAGAGAAACAAAGCGCACGTACAGGAGATTTGTGGGTAGGGGTGGGGGGTTATAGAGCTTGATTCTTGGAGTTCTCTTGATTTAAGGGTGATTTGGTTTTGGTTATTGTTTAGTTAGAATAGTTATGCACTGTTTATAATATAGTGTTTTTTTAACTTTCTACACAAACAATAGATGCATTGTTAGTTTGAAATGAAACAAACTATCAGTTAAAATGAGTGATTGTTAAATCTCAAGTTTTTGGTGAGATTGTTGAGAATGTTTGGTTGGAGTTGTTGAGTCTTTTTTTCTTCCAACTATGTCCCTACCTTTTTTATGTGTATTGCTTTCTTATATGGGTTAATATTTTCGTATGGCCTGAACTTTGACCAAAATAAACATCCTGGCCACAATCTTTTCGATCTATAACATCCTGGCCCGAACTATACACCAAAATAAACAATTTGGCCAAACCCGATGTTTGACCGTTAAATTGGACGGTCAATCGCGTTGACTAACGGTCAACGCGCCACGTCACTGCCAAGTCAGAAGATCTGATAAATATTTAATTTTTTCGTTTTTTATTTTTGGTTTAACTAAGGTATTAGATGATTTTTTAATTTATAATAATTTAAAATTAGGGAATGTGTGGAAATTATGAATTATTTTAAATAATTTATGCTGACTTGGCAATGACATGGCGCGTTGACTAACGGTCAATGTGTTTGACCGTCCAAGTTAACGGTCAAAAATCGGATCTGGCCAGATTGTATATTTTGGTGTATAGTTCGGGCCAGGATGTTATAGATCGAAAAAATTGGTCAGGATATTTATTTTGGTCAAAGTTCAGGCTATACGAAATATTAACCCTTCTTATATAAAAGACATAGGGTAAAAGTGGCATTTCACCAAAAAATAATATAACTTATTTAAATACTACAATAACTATCACATAAATCAAACGATGCAAACTATAATACACTAATTTTCTTATATACATGTATATTATTATGCATGCATTGATGACAATGCATCAATGTAACTATCACCAAAACCAACTGACCCCTACAAATTGTGTAATCGTCAGGTAAGCTTTATCACAATTGTAGTTCTTCAATCTCCGAGCTTATATCAAAGTTTCAGATAAGAATTTCTTATTTTCTCAAAGGAATTGGGAAGTTTGAAGAATTCAGAAGCCGGATTAAGCCCAAATTTCTTAAACTAGCTACCTGCGGTGAGGTAAATATTTTTCTAGTTCTAACCTATGAATTTCACTAATTTTCTAGCTTGGAGCCGGAATCGCTGAACTTAACTCCGGCTAGAGTTTGATGTGTTTTTATCGAGAATTCGACCAACAACCGAGTATTAACTTTGAAGGGGACACTGCAAGGGAGATTAGGACAGTCTCAGATTTTGATTCTGGGTTCATTGGCGAAACTTGAGGTTTTAGTACAGAGAGCTAAAACCATTGTTTGAACTACCATAAATGGTGAGGGATTAGCATGACATACCAGGTTTGTCGTATCGTGATAATTATATTGATGCTTAGAATTGATCTAGGTGAACTAGAACGACATGATTAGGAGTGTATGGACTTTTGTGTTATATGATGAATCCTGAAATGCTATTATTGTCTTGCCTTAATTGTTATGGACTGTGTTTGTGTTGATGATTGCATATATGTTGCCATTTATGGGCTTAACTGTTGATAATGCCTTATGATGGTTTGAGAATGTGCTTGAATATAAGTGCACAAGATTATTGTATTTGGATTCAGAAGTGGAGAAATATACTTCCCAAGATGATTTAGTATATTTAAGGAGGATGACTTGCACAAGATTTTATCTCGAGGAAGTGCAATTATACGGCTCCTGGTTTACCTATGTTGAGCCAATTGTGGCCAGGTTAATAACATGTCCAAGTAATGAATTAAGATTAAGCAGGATTAGATATGAAGTATGTATAAGGATACCAAATAAGAGTATATTGGTCTCATGGTCAATTACATAGTAATTAGGGCTCTCCATGCTATTACTCTATTATGATATGTATGATAGTCACAGCTCTCTTGTGGTGCTGACTGAAGATTATGATATGGATGATAGTCACACCTCTCAAGTGGTGGTGACTGAAGACTACTCATGAGATACGACCACACCAAGAGTGGTGATTGTTATGACATGTACTAATATTTTATGCGGTTATACAATATGAAACTGTGGCTACGACTATGAAAAGCCGATGTATATGGTTGTGGGTACATATGTATACCTAGGGATGCAGAGAACTAAATAAGTTATTTTGCAGAACTGATTGGAAGAATTGTTAGCCCATTAAGTGAGTCATTCATGTCGAAATTTTATTGGATTAATTTGGGAATTAATGTAACACCTAAGTCAAATTTCGACGCAATTGGATGAACAATATGATTAGGCAAAACATATAGCGTATGGTGTAACAATAATTAATTATGCAATTACAAAAACAAAGAATTAGCTCACAAGGTAAAAATAAACCGTGAACTAGTAATCTCCACAAGATTAAGAGATATTATAACCCTAAACTGCCTCCAATCATTTCCACCATGTTTGGAGTTCTTTCATATGACTTTAAGCAAACTAGTCCAGCATATTTGGTCACCTTCGTACACCTAATTTTGATATACTTATGTGGTGGAAGATTAATGGCCCTAAATACCCGATCTTACAAGAGATAGTCTTACTATTCCTGTCACTTCTGTTGCATAAGAGTTAGCCTTAAGCTGTAGAGGTCTATTATTAGATCCTCATAGGAGCATGTTGCATCAATCCACAATTGAAGCACTAATGGCATGAGGATTTGTCTATTGTTGTCAAGTACTTAATGCCACAATTAACTGTTATTTTGTCTGCTGTTGCCGAGTGCTTACTGCCACAATCCACTAATGTTTGTTTGCTGCAGTATGCAGGTATGTTGTTGGATGACTACCCTTTGCTGTTTTCCTTTTGAGAAAGAAGCTAGAAGGTTGAAGAATGTTGGTTGTTTGTTGATGTGATATATCTACTGACTTTGGAGAAGAAGATTGATATTTGAAGAATGTTGCAGCTGATAGTAGACGAAGAAAGTTGTTGCTTTCTATCTAGTCTTTAGCTTTCGTTTTCAATTATTTTAGTTGAGTAGGCGAATAAATTTTAGAACTCAAATCAGATGGAGTTTGAATGAGATATTAATCCTAAGTTGTTTCGTTGATTGGATAATTGGGTGTGAACATCTGACTTGGATTGGATGTTAATCCTAAGTGTGTTTCTATTGATTTCAATTTTAATTTATGCGTTCCTGTTCTGCTTATAAGTTCAGCTGTATTTTGTATTTTTTGGTTGAAATGTGTATGTTCCGAGTCGGTAGTGGTTTCCGGGTAAAACCAAAACCTGGGGTTAGGCGAGTGACAGTGCATGTTTTTTCCCTCGACTACAACAACAACTGCAGGTTGTCGACCTGACCCGGGAAGCATTGACGAGCAGGGTTCGAATAGGAGGTAGCCGCCCCCAATCTTCCTCGTTGCCAACCATAAAATCACCATTCATCAATAACTGTGGCAGTCAGATTTTTTTTCACGATTGCCATCACCTTGAAGTTACTGTGAAGAGTTCAAACAAACTCATCTAGATATTCAGTATAAGCAGTCAAAGAACAACCCAAGCTGAGCGGATTTTACATCCTAGGCCCAGGAAAAGTCGGAATGGCTTTGGGTCAACGACAACATATTAGCACAAGGACCGCCTTGTGAATCATGTCCCGGGCCCAAACTTTTATGCATCCCCTGAAGAAAAATCTCTTTCCATTTTCCCCCTTCTCTCTTCTCTCCAGTTTGAAAAAAGAAAGCGGAAATCGCTCTCTGTCTCTTCTTTTACCTTTGCAAAAATGAATTGCTAATTGTAGCCCTAAACAAAACTTATTTGTTGTCCTAAAATAATTCAATTACTATTTTACCTTCTCGGCTTCTCCCTTTCTTAAATTCAAATTTTTATAATAATCCAACCAAACACCCCTTCCCTCCCAACACTCAACAGTCGTCGGGTTCCTACCAACTAACGTCGACGACAACTTCACGCCGGGAGACGATGATTTCTCGCCGAGAGACGACGGAGAGCAGTGTCACCAGAGAAATAGGAGAGCAACATCGCCGGAGAAGAGGAGAGCAGCATCGTCAGAGAAGAGGATATCAGAGCGCCTCGCCAGAGAAGAAGACCCAGGCGCCGGAGGTAACTTTCTGACATCTGTACGAAAGACGAGGGTCAACGGTGGTTTGACCAGCCGTCATCATGACGTTTGGCCCCCTACCCAGATGACGGTGATGGTCAGTGGTTGTTTAACCAACCACCGCCGACAATGACGTCCTACCGGCGACGTCTGGGCAGGACGGCCCCGTCGTCAGCAGTATTTATTTTAATTTTTGTTTATTTTATATTAATTCAAATTATTATTATTAATTTTAAATATGTTTTATACTATGAATATTTATTAGGAAAATTTATTATATGAAAGAATTTATTTTAATTAATTAGTTTATATCAGAGTCAATTGTTGTTATGATTTATCAAATCTATTTAAATTTGGATAAATTTTAATATAAAATTGTATTGACTAATACTAAATAAAAATAAATGAATGTTAGAAATTCAATCGATAAATATGTTACTGTTTTTATTTAATTGAAATTAGATAGGAAATGTAAATTTTAATAATATACAAAAATTTAAATTTTTAAATGTAAAATTTATTTCATGAAAAATATTAATTGTAGTACGAACCTTAAATTGTAATTGAAAATTTTATTAAGAAAGAAATTAAGTTAGAATTTATTCTGAAGTTCATTGTCATAATCCGAACATTATATTGTGATCGGGAAATTTATTGTAATTGAAATTATATACAAATGTTAAATTATAATAAAGAAATATACGAACGTTGAATAATTTGAATATAAAAATTCATTATATGAGAACTAATAATTATTACATGATGATAATAAATTGAAAATAATTTTAATTCAAATTTTAATAGGTAGAAAATGGTGGATACAAGAGAAAAGAAGAAAATTAATGAGAGTCGTCGAGGGTGGTCAATCGTATAGTATTGAGGTCGCGTCGTGAGGAAGCAGAGAATGAGCGTCGACGTGCTAGTGGAGAATCCTTCTCCCCAGGCTCCCGTGCCTTTTGACTAAGATACAACTTTTGAGGGAGTGGCTGAATATGACTGATAACAACAAAATTGGTGTCATTTACCCTCCATATCGAGGTATGTTTTGTGCCAATTCATGTGCTTAAATGCTAAAACATTGTCAATTACATCCCTATTTCGTTCCTATTTGAATTCGATGTGATTTTAGGGTGTATTAGTCGATATGTGCGAATTAGGTACAAAACAAGGTCACAAGTGTAGAAAAAGCGACAAAAATGGATATCATGGCCGAAGGAACCAAGATCCCAGCCTTCATAGCCAAATCCCGGTCATTAAGAGAGGGCATGAACCAGAGCACAAGATCGCAGCCTACAAAGCAAAGATCTCGGTCGCGATCTTCTGCTTCCAACCCGTTAACTTTACTTGAAGATCGTAGCCTAAAGTTCGCGGACACGAACTTTGGAGCCAAGGGTGTGAACTTCAGAAGAGGCCGGATCGGGAGAAGCATCAAGTTTCCCCACTCAAATCACGGTCACTGTCTTCCGTGCCCGCGATAAAGATTGCGACCGGGATGTTAGGCCGTGATCTCCACATTTTGCAGGTGAAAACAATGACTTTCAAAGATCGCAACCTCTCTCCCAAAGATCCCGGCCTCGATCTTTTGCCTTCAGCCCGCGAACTTCCCCTTAAGATCGCAGCCTCAAGTTCATGTGCGCGATCTTCAGCATTCAGCCTGCGAACATGCCCATGTCTGTTGAACTCTATAAATAGAAGACCTCTTTCCCCCTTTTGAGTTGAGTTGATTTTGAGAGAAATTTTCTAGTTCTAGAGAGAGCGAAGAGAGAGAATCTAAAGGAAGGAGAAGAAGGAGGAGCTAGGAGCAAGGAGGATCTTCTCTAACTTCAAGTCTTTGTCTATTTCTACCATGTATCTTCTTCCCTCATTTATGGAGTAGTCCTCTAAGGTACTAGGGGTTCTAAACCCCAAACTTTAGCTTTAGGGTTTATTTTGTATATATAGATGTTTTAGGGTTTGAATGAATGAATGTGTTTACCTAGTTGATTTTAATGCCACTATTTCCTAAATGATGACGCTTGGGCAACTAGCCCCAGTCATCCCTCTTAGCCTGCTTTATGCTATTGTGCTGGGTACGGAGTTCTAGGGTTAGACGGGCATGCGCCATCTGACGAGTTTAGGTTAGATGTGTGAATGAGGGCCTATAGTGGTCGAGGCGACCGTACCCCTGATATAGGTGGCTTTCCTAGGTGAAACCCGTGATAAAACTCTCGGTGTGGACGGTGGATAGTGTCCATTAAAATGAGCCATATACTTAATGCCCGAGAAACGATATCCTAGATCGAGGTGACTGGAACATGGGTTTAGGGGAGGCATACTCGTAGGCGTGTGCATAACGGTGAAGACCCACGAAAAAGAGCTCACTCACCACATTCGACGACCCTAGATATCTATATATGCATAGTGACCCTAAGCTAGGGGGAGGATTAATCCTCGAAGTACCTGCTTTTAGCTTTGATCAATCCTTAGACTAGAGTTTCCTCATATCCTCCCCTCAAAACCTCAAAAACCGATTAACTAATTAGCAACTAGGTGGGAAGTAGGTTAGGAAACCGGGACTCTGGTAGAATACGGCCTTGAATACGACTATACGACAACACCGTTCTAGGTTAAACTTGGCCTAGGATAGCGTGGTTATGGATACGTGCAAACCAAAAACCTGCACGGATTGAAGTGATCAAACTTTTTGGCGCCGTTG